AGTGATATCCCTTGGGAAACGATCCTGCTTCTTAGTCTAACATGTTTAAGGGTTCTATAATCTATAAACATCTTGTTTTTTTGATGCCCAACTGAATATTCCACGTTCACATACTAATGTCAAGGAAAATAATCTGCAAAAGATATAATAGTCACTTATTTACCTTCTATCAAAAGTTAATATTATGCCATGTCACACCTTAAAATGGTCTAAATGCAATAAAAATATATTTTAAAATCCCTGCTAGTCCATGAATTTGGTTATGTAAATATATGTAGAGCAAATCACGTTCTTGTTCATATTAACTGTTTTCTTTCCTGCTAATACCTGTGTATTAATGCTTATATACTTTCACTTTATTTTTAATTTCTATTTTAAAATGTCTAATTTCTGATCCTTCCTGGGAAAAGAGAAAAAAGAATATATTACCACTAAAAAACTGATAATTTGAGAGTTTAAAATTCAACCCCCTTTCTTGCTCAAAAGTCTGGGTGACATCTTTCAGAACAATACTAAAAACTAGACTTACCTTTTCTGGCATTTTTGAAGGATTTCTTATACTGCAAACCAAATGAAGAACATGCCGTTTTTCATGCTAAAATCAAAAAGAAAAAAATACATATAAGGTCCTTATAAGCTGAATTGAACTTGGTAAATATTTTGAGTAAATTCAAAAATTAATTTATAAGTAACATACCTTAGGTAGTATATCTCTGAGACAAAGGTGATCTAACAGCAGCTTTCCTGAATAAATTAATCTCTGGTCCTCTTCTCGCTTATTGAGGGAACAGAAAGGAAATCACAGTTCAGTTTTTAACTGTGGTGGGTCAACTCCCCATATACTTAACCTCCTCTATATAAAGGTTTTGGATATGCTCATTTTCCTCAAGTTTCTCCAGAAAAAAAATCCCTCAAAAGGTGCTGCTTTAAAATATCCATAAAAATATCAAACTTGGAAAGCATCCTCAGCTGACCAGAAGATCTCACTGATAACTGATATTAATGCAAAATTCTTTCTACCCCTAAAATTCATAGGAAAAAATGGCTTTTCAATTCCTAGTTATGCTACCACTGATAAAGTACAGTTGAATTTGAAACTTGTCCCAGGAATTATACAACTTGTACTTTTCATTCAATAAAGCAGAATCTGAATTGGGTTTCTGAGACTATGCTTTTAAACTTGTCTTCACAAAAGCCAGGTAGGACTATATAACACAGAACTATTCATCATTTTACCTTGAAGAGGAAATTTCCAAATGACACTTAAAAGATTCCTGCAGTTAGTCCACTGAAATGTCAGATAGATAGATACACATACACAAGGACATGTGTCAACCAGATTTTTTTGTCCTGGGGCACCTTTTAGAAGTGGCTTAAATTTACATTGTTTCCTGAACTGGCCTCACATAAATAAATCTTGCTCTTAAATAGCTATCCTTATGTAAAGGTAAGGGATCGTGTAATATTTAATAAAATAAAACACAAGAATATATGAATTTTATATAGTATTTAAAATGTAATGTTTAATACCTGATGGATATAAAACCCTCAAAGAAGGAAAATATCTCCCCCAAATTCTAACTAAATGAAGATAATACCTTTTCCCTAAAAAGTTGCCATACCCTTAAAAAGGAAATGTAGTAGAGGGGAATCAGAAAAGATCTTAGTTTAGATCTCATCTTACCAGCTACACGACCTCTCCGAATCTCAATTTCCTCACTTGTAAAATAAAAGGATTGGACTAGATGAACTCTATAGTACTTTACCATTCTAAATCCATAGGATCATGATTTTGCATTTCTTATTCTTTCTTCTTATTTGGTATTGATTTTGATACTTGCTCTAACAATTTGGTTGTGTTACTCTAAATAAACCATTAATGTGGAAATTACTCCACTTTAAGGAACCAATTCCTGTTTGTTAAAATATAATTAATTTCATTTTTCTCATAATGCTATTTGGTGCTTGCTATGTCCAGTGCCTCTTGACTTTCTTCTCATAGAGAAGTCTGTGAGCCTTTGTTTGAGCTCTCTTTCTTCTTTCAAAACCATATTTTCCAATTTTTTTTTTTTGCTGTGTCCCAACCTTTGTATTTATACTACTGAGCTAATTAAATTTATTTGCTGAATTTGGAGGGAGGGAGAACTTTATCAAGTTCGTTGAATTTCTCTACCTTCTCAGCTCCTTCAATAGATGTTAGTACATAAGTTGGAGTTATCTTCACGAAGGCCTCTTGTAAATGTTTACCATGAATACTGTGATATTAGATAACCAATGTTCCATGAAAGGATGTTTTTTTGTTGTTGTTGTCTTTGGATGAGCACTAAAACCAACTCCATCAGTTCCTTCATTTATTTCTCCAATAAAAGCCATTCTTCTATTTAACTACAACTTCCTTTTTGTCTTCTGGTTTCATTTTTAAAGAGAATGTCAAGATTGATATGATTCATTTCTAGTGCTTTTCTTTAGTCACTAAATAAGGATTTTCTCTCATTTAAAATATCAACAGTTACCTTAAAACCTATCAATGTTCTACGAAACTATATTTCTTAGGATTCTTTTTCCTCCACTCCTTTTTTCTGCCACTCTAGATATGAAGGTGGGTCTCAGAAAACTGAGAACCATTTTGGATTTTTATGTTTACAGGCTACCATGGCCAAAGAATTTTTCATCAAGGAGTCAGCCTTCTGGGGATGAAATGAGTCTCTCGAGTGGCTGAGCTGTGCCAGAAAGCTGACATAATCTGTTGCTGGGACTCTCCTCCTAGCCTTTTCTGGCAGAGACTGTCAAGAGGTAGTGTTTTGTTGACTAAGCCTTCAAGAACCCAGAGTCACCTAAGCAGTGCAGTCTGAGTTTCAGGCATTTGTAAACTTGAAAGTTCCATAAATACCAGCTTAGCACAGTGCCTAGCATAGAGTATGGCCTATTTAATAAATGTTTGGGGCCTTGCCTTACCTACTATTTACTTTATGTCATTAATTTACATATTTAACAAAATCACAAAATCAAATGTTTTCTTACATTTACAAATGCAAAATGGCAAACAATAGATTGAACAATAAACCAAACTAAATCTTGAAGGCTGGAAAGAAAGAAGCTGCATTAAAGCAAAGTAATAAATAACTACCTAGATGTTCATAAGTTTCAGAAAGTTTTACTTCTTCTTAACTTTAAATAAAATTGAAGGTATTATGCTGTAACAGTTTCTAAAAGAGATATTCTGTAATCCTTTTCTGCCACTTTGGTTTTGTTTTGTTTTTTGCTCCCTATAATTAAGAATTATATAATTGGAAGCAAATGCTACTGTTGCCTATTATATAAGGCCACAGGGTAAATAAATGAAGGCTCCAACAACTCATACATGATCACATGGGGGAGGGAAGGGCTCCAGATAAAAGGAAACGTTGACCACACACCCAAACAAGAGATGACACTGCCCTTATGGCACAAAGTCCCATTGCCTCAGAAAGAGTTCATCTCAGATAACCACCCAAACAAGAAAATGTCTCTGTACCAGAAAGAACACTAACTGACCTAGGTACACTGTGATTGGAATAAGGAGCTAAGCCAAGTCTTTCCTAGCGAGGGTAAACACAGGATTGTCATAGTATCAACACCGAGAAGGATCAAGACAAGTCAGTATTAACACTGAAAAGGATATGGAGACCTGCCCACTGTTTGTCTATAAATTTGCAGACACAATATGTAACAGACGACACAAAGAACATTAAGAAACTTTACAATCTTAAAAGAACTATGTTGAGGACGCTGGAGAACATCTAATCCAGCCACCTCTTTTCCTGAAACTGAGGTCAGAGAGGGTTCGTGAAGCTCAAGGTCACAGAGTCAGGAACAGAACGGGAACGAGAAACCCAGGTTCCTTGACTCCCTGCTTCCCCTCCCCCCCATCTGGAACTGTTTCCGCTCCGTGGGGGTGGAACAGGGAAAAGAATTGGGCTGGGGAAAGACGGACAAGTGGGCTGAGGCAGATGGGAGGATGAAGAACTAGGGCGAGAGGTGGATTGGGTGGATGGGAGGGAGGGAAAGAAAGACTGGGGGGCTCCTGGATGGAGAAGGAATTGGGGAGGGGGGCAGACTCCTGGAGGATGGGGAACTGGAGGGAGTTGGAGGGAAGTGGATGAGAATTGTGGGGGGAGGGGGTGGAAGAGGAGTTAAGAGAAGTGGACTGCAGCGGGGAGGGGGTGGAGGAGAGGAAGGAGGCCGCAGAGGTGGACAACAAGGGGGAGAACACAGATCCTGGAGGCGGGGGAACTGCGGGGACACAGGCTCAGCAGACGGGAGGCCTGGAGGCGGAGAGCGGGGCGATACACAGACGGGAAGGGAGATAGGGAGCAGTAGAGAGGAGGAAAGGGAATTGGTGGCGAGGCGGGGGAGTCGGTGACAGATGGACAGCGGGCAGTTGGTGACAAGTGGACGAGAGGGAGGAGGAGGGCTGGGGTCTGGGGAGGACGGCGATGGGGAAGGGGGACGGCAGAGGCCGGTGACAGCTGCTGAGGACTAGGGGAGAGGCCTAGCCGATCTCCAAGGTCCCCCCTCCCCCTTGGCTCTGAGTCGCCCCTCGGGACCAGCGCGGAGGCCGGCGGAGAGCGCAGGGAAGGAAGCGGAGCCACGTCCCCCGGCCTCACCGGTCGCTCAGGGTAGACACGGCTCAGGTGAGCCTTGAGGCGGCCCACGCTCCAGTTCAGGTCCCCGCTCAGCTCCAGGTCCCGGTGCCGCTGGTTGGGGCTCTTCACCAAGAGGGTCACGGGCTCGGGCTCGGGCTCCATGTCTTCTGGGTTCCCGAGGCTCGGCTCCGCCCGCAGCGGCCTGACCGGACCAGACGGACCAGAGGGCGGTGCCACTGCCTCCGCTGCCACCCTGCCGGGGACTCAAACAGCCGCAAGGACGACAGTTTCCTGATGTGGTGCGCGCGACTGCAACCCAGCCGCCTTTTATGGGCAGCCCCTCCCCACCTCTGCGAACGAATACACTGGATACACTGTGGCTGCCGCCTATTGGCTAAAGCCGAGGGTCAGCCCCAACGTGGCCCAATCGGAGCCCGGATCCACGAATGGGGAAGAGAAGCTGAACTGCTGTGCAGAGTCGTGGACCGAGGAGGGCGGAGCCGAGACGAACTCTGAGGACAGACTGATGCAAGAGCCTGCAGTTGCGTCACCTGGGAGCACAGTGAGGTTTAGGATTGGGACTTGGGACTCAGGGGCGTTGGGGCGGGCCTTCCTTAAACCTCGTCCCTCTAGGCGGCCGAGCTCTGAAGTGACCATGGCCAGTGTCCCGTCCTGCATCCACAGCAGGAAATCCCGTTAAATTGTGTCGTCACAATGCACATCCCTGCCCTGCCAGACCCCTGACCGCAGACTCCCCCCCAGATGGTAACTTTCCCCCTTGTTTCAAACCCCTTCTGTATGATGTTTGGCAAGTTTCCTCAAATATTCCTAAAGAATTTATATGTGGATCCCTCTTTGGACACTATTACTACCTACCTTCTGGTATGTGTTATCTGTGTAGATTGATGTTAGCTCCTGGTGTCTTCATTGTCTTTGTAATCCCAGAGCCTTTCAGTGCTTTACACATAATTGGTGCTTGACAAACGTTTATTACGTCAGATGGAACTTGGTGGTTCAGCCCACGCGCCTTCAAGGGCTAGTGTGTCAGAAAAGACAAAGGGTACGCCTGTTTTAAGAAACCCCAAGGTCATAGAATAGGAGAATTTAGACCTTGCAAGGCTCTTAGGAATCATCTTATTTCAAAGAGGCAGAAGCTGAGAGGTCAGAGAGGGGAAGTAACTTGATTAAAACTGCACAGGTAGTTAATTAAGTAGGGTGACCTTGGAGACTCAGGTATTTAGTTGCAAATCCAGCCTTTGCCACTTATATATTACCTGTGTGACCTCATCAGATCACTCAACCTTCTTGGGCCTCACAGCTGTCTCACCTGTAAAATTAATGGGTTGGACTAGATGACCTCTGAGGTTCTTATGGCAGAATTGTAATTCAAACCCAGGTTCCAAATCCCAAATTAATGTGTGCTTTCCACTACATCTGAATGGTCTTATCCTAGGAATACCATTCTTTGAAGCAGGGATTCTTAACCTTTTTTGTGCGTGTCATGAACCTGTTTGGCCATCTTGTAAACCCTATGGATTTCTTCTCAGAATCATATTTTTAAATGCATAAAATAAAATACATAAAATTACAATGGAAATAAATTATATTGAATTGCAGTTATCAAAATATTTAAGAAACTAATTCACCATCCTCAGGGTAAGACCACCTGATTTTAAAGATTTCCTGACAAGGTTATTTCCTCCAAACAGTTGCCAAATTGATATTCCTAAAGCACAGGTCTGAGGATGTTACTCCCTTGCTCAAGACACATTGGTACAAAATACAGACTCCTCTGTTTGGAGTTAAAGCTCTTCACAAAATGGACACAGTCCACCTTTCTGGCCTTATTTCACTTGACTCCCGACATCAAGTATTCAACATTCCAGTCAAACTGGCCTGTCCTCAACATTCCATCTCTTGATTTAGTGGCTTTGCACAGGCTTTTCCTCTTGCTTAGAATGCATTCTCTCCTTACCTCTACCTCTCTGAATCTTTTAACTTCTTTCAAGGCTCAGTTCAAATTCCACCTCCTAAAAGAGACCTTTTGTGATTTCATCCCCAATTAAGTCCACCCCTCCCTTGTTATTTTGTATTTTTTAAAAATCAAACCTGTGATTTTATTGGTATTAAGAAATCCCAGATAAGGAAAGTACTTCTATTGATACAGATCTGCACCTACTCCATAACTTATTGTCTTCAAAAGTATCAGAGTATCTGATTTACTCAGGGTCACAAAGCCAGTGTGTGCTGAAGGTGGCCATTTAACCCAAGACTTCCTGACTGACAGGCTGCCTCACTCTCCAGTCTACCACCCAGTCTCTCATTACTTTGCATTTTGCATTTATTATTCCATCCTTATAAACATTGTTCCTGCCCCTATCTCACTTAAATATAAGTTCTCTGAGGACAAGGACTTTTGTTTTGTCTTTGTATCCCAATAATAGACGTTGTGGTTGACCCCATTTGGGGTTTTCTTGGCAAAGATACTGGAGTGCTTTGCCATTTCCTTCTCCAGCTCGTTTCACAGATAAAAAAACAGTCAAACAATGTTAAGTGACTTGCCCAGGGTCACACAACTAGTAACTGTTGCCAGATTGGAACTCAGGAAGATAAGTCTCTACCCACCATGCCACCTAGCTGCCCCATAATAGGGCATAATGCCTGGCATTTAATGAATACTTAGGGAATGACTAAAAAGCTAGAGTCAATGTAGTGTTATGGGTATTTTCTAGAAGTCCTGATAGCATCTTTTAGGATAGGAGACAGGAAAATGGAAAAATATTAGGGAAAAATTCATTCATTTCTAGTTACTAAAATAGTTTCATAATTTTTAGAACTGTAAGGGCCCTAGAATTTCATGATAAAGTCTCAAAACCCCACCAGAAAAAAAAAGTGAAATCTCTAGTACATTCAGTCTCCAAAGTTCCAATGTCAGCACATGGTTTTCCAGGAGAATTGATAGCAACTTTATCAACAGAAACAGAGGAATGTTGGCAGGAGAATGGCAAAAGAGGTAGCAGCAGGAAAGATCAAGGGTCCAGAATCATAAGGTCATAGGATTTAGAGATGAAAGGAGGCTTAGAGATTCTCTATTTCAATTCTTATTGTTATGTCAAACTGGGTTTTGATGGCTCAGAGTGAGTGTAAATAGCAGTGGTTTCTGTTCTGGCCAGAAACTCTGAGGGTCTTCCCCTCCCAGATTCATTCTTTTGGGAAATCAAGCTAAGCCAACTTTTACCTCAGTTCTTACCTAGCCTTTAATCACTGAATGGGATTGCCTCAGACAAACTGGACCTGGGGCCCTAGCTTTTTCTAGTAAGAGACTCTAGAAACAAGCCACTCTAGTGTTGGTTGGAGGAAGTGACCTGGGGTTTGGGGGGAGAGAGTTTTCATTCTCTTTTTCTATCAACCATTGGACAATTGTATGAATTTTGAAAGGTCAGAAGATTTGCCTCTGATTGGAGGGCTGGGGGATTACTAAACTCCTCGCAATGCCTTCCCTTATAGAAAACAGAAACTGAACTGAGTTCATTCCACTTAGTATCTGCTACCCTGCCTGGCTTCAATTCCATGGAACAAGATATACCTGTGTCAGGTACCATCATTTCCCTGCCTCCTTTTTTGTGCTGTCTCCCTCTATTTGATTGTAAGCTCCTTGAGGGCAGGAACTGGCTTTCTTTTTATTCTTTGTATCCCCAGTGCTTATCACAGTGACTGGTACATAGTGACTGAATAAATGTTAATTAAATTGGGATTGGATCTCAAGACTCTACAAGAGCACCAGTTCTTCAGGCCCATCATAGAGCTACATGGAAGGGGCAATTTCATGAGGATTCCTCAAGAGGAGAAAAGCTCTTCAAATAACTAAGAGCTGTGAGTAACCCTTTGGCTACATATGTTCTCTAGCTTATACTCCCTAAGCACCTTGCATGTGGGATGTTGTACCCTGGTTCATGGGAATATTTAGTGCCAACTATTCTTACTTTATAACTTTCATAAATATCCATTTCTAAAAGCTAATTAACTCTGGCTCGCTAATTGATAATCACTGGGAACATATGGGGGCTTATGAGCAACAGTAAAAGAAGACCTCCTCCTCACCCCTCCCACCCCACTTTGGAGTTTCCCTCTGGGGACTTATTCTGCCAATGTCAATAGAGGTTGAAGAAAGTAGACTTGGAGAGAATGCTACAAATGGATGTGGTTTTATTAAAGGAAATGGCCACTAAAGAAGATGTATTTCCATCTGCTTTGCTGCAGCACCCGAAGGACCATTGGGACTTTCCATCTGACTTACAGCTGAAACCTTCCTGTTTCCCCCAATTAGAATTTGAGGTCCTTGAGAAAAGGGACTGTTTTGCTTTTCTATGTGTACTTCCAGTACTTTATACAGAATAAGCTTATTAAATGCTTTTTCATTTATTCATTCATCAGTTTATTCATTTATTCATTCATTTTGAGCTCTTCTAGTCTAGTCCCTTTATCTGACAGCTGAGTGAATTGAGGTCCAGAGAGATGAAGCAGCCTATTTGATTCACACAGGCAGTAAGTAGCAGCTCTGGGATTAAAATCCAGGTCCTCTCATCCCAAATCTAGTGCTTTCTCCACACCGATGGGACTCCCATGGGAAGCAGCCAGTAAGTCTTAGACAACAAGCCCGTGTAGCTAATCAGTTTTAATTTAAATAGGAAGATTGTGTTTTCTTTCTTGGTTTGTAGTAGAATGGAAAGAACATAAAACTGGAAATCAAAAGACTTTGATTTGAGCCCATTTCTAATATAGTCCCTAACTCTGTCATCTTGGGTAAGTCACTTAACATCTCTGAGTCAGTTTCCTCATCTGCAAAATGAGAAACATGAAGCAAAATGGTGTAGTGGATAGAACACTGGATTTGGGGGTCAGGGAGTCCTGGATTCAAATCCTGCTTCAGATAGTTACTCACTGTATGACCTTGGGTAAATCATTTTACTTCTCTGCATCAGTTTCCTCATCTTTAAAATGAGGGGATATGAACTCGATGACTTCTTGAGCTTCATTCCTCCACATCTATGATCCTATGAATGTCAACATGATTCAGAAACCACAAATGCTTGTGCTACTCTATATTATAGGGCTGTTGTGAGAAAATTGCTTTATGAACATTAAAGCAATAGAGAGGTGAGGTTTTAGGAAAAAGAGAGAGAGAGAGAGAGAATGGGAATGAGAATGAATATGGGGCCTGAATGAAGTCTTTTTTTTTTTTTGGTGAGGCAATTGGGGTTAAGTGACTTGCCCAGAGTCACATAGCTAGTGAGTTATGGATGAAGTCTTAAAAGGCAAATTCCTCAAGGGCATTGATGGTGTGTCTTCTCTGTGTTCTATAAAGGACCCAATAAGAAAGGATCAATAGTCTGGATGCCTTTTTGCATTATTTGGTTGTTTTTTTTGTTTGTTTCTTTATTTTTTTGCTAGGCAATGGGGTGAAGTGACTTACCCAGGATCACACAGCTAGTTAAGTGTCAAGTGTCTGAGGTCAGATTTGCACTTGGGTCTTCCTGAATCTAGGGCTGGTGCTCTATCCACTGTGCCACCTAGCTGCCCCCCAAGTATCTTACCTTCTACGGTGAAGACAAAACATACACCAATAAGTAAGTATAAATGAGTATAAATAGAGAAAGAATTTCCATAACAACACACTAGGAGAGCACTAAGAAAGCAAACCTTCAGGTAGAAAGTGGTATTTATGCAGATTTTTGAAAGTAGCCAAGAATTCTGCCTGGGAGATTATAGGTTTATGGATTTAGTGACGGGAAGAAGCTTTATAGGTTATCTAGTCTAACTCCCTCATTTTTGTCATTGTTGAGTTGTTTCAGTCATGTCTGACTCTTCATGATTCCATTTGGGGTTTTCTTGACAGAGATACTGGATGGTTTGCCATTTCCTTCTCCAGTTCATATTACTGATGAGGAAACTGAGGCAAACAGGGTTAAGTGACTTGCCTGGGATCACACAGCTAGTAAATGTCTGAGGCCAGGTTTGAACTCAGGAAGAGGCCTGACTGTAGGCCTAGCACTCTATCTACTGCACCACCTAGGTGCCCCCAACTCCCTCATTTTGCAGACTAGTAAATTGAGGCTCAGAGAGGCTAAATAACTTATCCAAGGTGATTTAGATAGTAAGTTGGAAAGCCCTGAATTGGAAATTAGATCTTCTGAATCCCAATGATGTGCTTTTTCTACACAAATATTGAATTAGTGGAATTGCTAGTTGAAACTATGAAAGAAGTCTGGAAAGTGAGAGTGAAGTAAGATTGGACACTCCCTCTTCCCCTCTGTCTTTTGGAAATCCTACCTTTCTTTGGGGACCAGCTCAGGTGCCACCCCCAATAGGAAGTTGTTTCTGATTCTCTTAGTAGTTAGTACTCTCTCCAGGGGCCTCTAAGTTCAACTCAAACCTCCAGAAAAGTCCTCTTCACAGCATACCCACCAAGGAGTATTCCATTGTTCTTATGGCCGGCTCTAATTGTTATATCATTGTATCAGGCCCAACTTTGACTTTTACCCTTTGATTCTTACAACATGACCCTCTAGGATGCTGTAAGTTCCACGATAGCAAGAAAGAAGTCTTGCCTAAACTTTGAATCACCCTGTAATAACTAGGACAGCATTCTGCACACAGTAGGTTATTAATAAATATTTAGTTGAATTAAATCAACTCTTTGCTCTCTTTTCTAAATCTCTTTTCTATGCCTCTCATTTGATCTTTCCCTGGGAGTGGGGTTATGCCTTCCAGGCTCCCAGAAGGTAGATATCTACGTTAGCATCTTGTGGCCCCTCCCACCCATCAGACCCATTAACACAATTAACAATTAACATTAGTTGTTGTGTCCTATTTTAGGTCCATAGGATCATACACTGAGAGCTCCTCTTATAGATGAGGAAATAGAGACCCAGAGAGCTCAAGTCCAAGGAGGGCCATGCAGAAGTAAGTGTCAGAGTCAAGATTGGACTCCAGGTGTTGTGACTCCAAATCTAGTGCCTTTTCCAGTGTACCATGCTGCCTCCCAAAAGGAAGTGGCAAGCCCCTCTGTGAGTGTACATAGGCTCAGTGCATGACCAAAAATGACTTGCCCATGAGAAGTAGCCTAAAAAAATCATTGAAGATTAGAATGAGGACTGGATTTGGAGTTAGAAGACCTTGTGTGTACCTTAAGCATGGCCCTTGGATCCTCTGTTTTCTTCTCTGTAAAAAACAAGGGGTAGAATTGATGACTTCTAAGGTTACTTCCAGCTTTCCATCTAAGGTCCTATATGTGAATGAAAAAGGCCAGTCATGTAGCAAGATTGAAGGAGAACCTATGGATGAAGTGTGGCACTGTTATATAGAAATCAGGCAGTCAATAAACATTTTTTAAGCACCTATTATGTGCCAAGAAATGTTAAAAAAAAAAAAACTCTTAAAGGAAGGGCACAGGGTAAATCTTCTGTGGAAGATTTATGAAAGGACATGGACAAAAGTCACATAGGATAAGAAGGCCAGGGTGGGTTGAAATTTGTTCTAGTGGAGGGAGTGCCGACACCCATGAAGATATGGGTATAGAGAAATATCAAAATGAATCTTTAGTTTACAAAGTCCAACTTGGATGCTTCATCAAAGTATTATGGTAACCCTAGATTCTTGAAGACTATGACAACAGAAGGGTCAGCTCTGGCAGGCTCTACCATGCTAGAAAGGCTTAGATTGGAGCAGAATCCTAGTAACAAATTATATTAGCTTCCTGAGGATCCGCTGAACCAAGCGTAGAAAGGCTCACCCTCAATTATTAAGCAAGTTTTTTTTTTTCTCTCTCCCATGCTTGGTGGGGAACACGGTGCTGCGGAATGACCTGCTGGACCCCAGCCTATTAACGGATCACCCAGGCAGCCATCACTGAGATGTCTTTTCCTAAATGCAAAGGAGTGACTCATCTATCAGCTATACTGTGTTTGGAAGTAAGATTGGTGGGGTAGCCCACTCTCCCACCAGAAGCCACTAGGGTGGTGAATGGAGTGCTGGGCCTGGAGTCAGGAAGACTTGAGTTCAAATCCATTCTCTGACACTTACTAGTTCTGTGACCTTGGATGAGTCACCTTACCTCTGTTAGCTTCAGTTTCCTCAACTGCAAAATGGGGATAATAAGAGTACCTACCTTGTAGCATTGTTATGATAATCAAATGAGATAAATTTATAAAGTGCTTAGAAAAGTGCCTGGCACCTAATAGGCATTATAGAAATTCATATTCTGTTCCCTGGGGAGCAAGAGGGGTGAGGGTGCCCCCAGTTTTGGGAGGATGTGTTTATACTTCTGTTCTTGCGAGAGTTTCCAGTAAATATCCCTTTGTAAAATCTAATTAATGTCAATTTTTTGTCTATGATATGGAGGAGATAAAAACTGGGAAAATGATACTGGGGTACTAATCACTAGCAGTTGATAATGGGAGGAACATATTAGAAAGGAGACTCAAGGCCGTAGCATTATAAAGAACCTCACTGCCCCTCAGAGGTACTCTTGGAACCCGTGTGGAATAATAAAGACAATCTAGGGACTGAACCTGTTAGTGAGAGTATGGGTTGAGAAAGTAAGTCCAGAGTCTTGCTATGAGAATGTAACAATAACTGCCAAACCTCCTCTCTCATTTTATGAAATTAAGCTTACATACATACTGAGGGAGCTCTTAATGAAGGTATAAAAAGGTTTTTGCTAGCTATTGTCTGTGGCAGCCCACATCTTTACAGCTGACTGAAAGGTGCAAAGCATACAAGATCCCCATATTTGTTGGTTCTGTATTTATTATTTCTTGACTACAAATAAGCATTTGCTATGTTAGAGTAATATGTAACCTAAAGGCTCTCCTCTAATAAGATCTTCTAGATATCTGTCAAAATCATACAAGGTTCTTTGAAAGAAAAAACAGGCATAACTTTGTTCAGTCATCTGATTATTCACACCTGGGTGACCTTTAGTAAGTTACCTAACCTTTCCGGGCTTCAGAAGAGTTTGGATTAGATGACCTCTAATCTTCCAGCACTACATCTATGATCTTATAATCTTATTAATATTAACTGAGACGTGAAACAGGGTGTTGTCTGCTGACCCAAAGCATTTCTCACAGTCGTGGAGTTGCTATAGCACAGAGTCCAAATGAAAAAGATTCTTTTCGGTGAGCAAGGCCCTCCAGATGCTCCTATATACAGATGCCATTGTGCTGATTTAACAGGCCTTGGAACATCGCAGAATTTCTTAAGCAAGATGCCAAAGATATCAGGAATCAGTAAAACAAAATCAAAAGAATGAAAAAAAATAGAAGAAA